AGCTCAACACTGCTTCAACATGAAATGTGCTCTCATGTGCTAAAAACAGCAGCCTGGCCCTGCCTCCCTCAGCAGCATTGACCCTAGTTGGATACCTCCCCATAAAGTCAAAGCTGCTTCCAAGCCACCCAAAAGGCTGCTCATCTCAGTCTTGGATGATTAAACATCAAAAGCTCTCAGTGATTTGGGGGATGTGCTCCTAACAAAGACACACTGAGAATGCAGGATTCCTTCCCTTGTGACTTCCTGATCAGGGGTGAAATCTACTTGCCTTCCTTACTGGTTCGGAAGCGCACGCGCGTCACATGTGCACACACACCTTCTGCGCACGCGCAAAACCTTTTGTGCATGCACAGAAGGTACAAAACATTACTTCCTGGTTAAAACCAGGAAATAATGACACCCGGGCAGCAATTGCTACCAGATCACCGAACCACAGGGAAAAATCGCTACCGGATTGGATGATCCGGTTGGATCAGGAGCATTTCACCCCTGTTCCTGATGCTTAGGAAGAAATCCATTTATTTTGGTAGACTGAGGGTGGTAAAGTCAGCTACTTTTCATCCTTGATGATGAATTAGTTTAAAGCTTTTTTTTTTTTTTGCTTCCTTTGGGCTTCTTCTTTTATTCCAATTCCGCTCTCTTCATTCTCATTGCTTTTTCGAGGCTCCCACCCTGTTTGCTGCCCAGGAGATCTTGGGAATAAGCCCTCTTTTGCTCCCTGCAGGCTTCAGAAGAGGATTCGGGACTCCTTTCTGCCCTGGTCAAAAATTTGCAGTATTTCCCACCCAGAGGCAAGAAATCCCCACCATCCTGGTCTCTACAAGCTTGGAGAGGTGGAGAAAAACAGAGCTGCTGCTACTGCTGCTGCATGGCCCTCTCCTCCATTCAACAAATCTGCTGTGTCACCCTTTCCGAGAAGAGCAGAGCGCCCTCCCCTCCCCTCCCCCCCCAGCCTTCCTCCGTAGCTCTTGAGGGAATGGAGAGGAGGAAAGCAAGCAGCTTTTTTCCCTGGCAGAGAGGCCAAGCCTGCCGAGACACGTTCAGGCAGGTGACATGGGAGTGCTAGGAAGCCTCATCCTCTCCTGGTTCTCCTTGTCCAGGGTGCGGCTGGGGAGGTGATGCCAAAGTAGGTCAAGCTGGCATCTTTTTAGGAATCCCGGGGCCATTTTCCTGCCTTCTCATTTTTGCAGGCATTCCTCGCTCAGGGGCAAAGCTGGCTCCCACGGGCTTTTTTTGGCCTTGCTCGGAGGAGAGGTTCCTCCACGGTTGTCCTCCTCCTCTTCCTCCCATCTGGGTTATTCCAGCTTCTGCCTTCGTCTTCATTGCATGGAGCCGGGCAGCCGATCTTCTTACAGTGCCAAGCAAAAGCTGCTTGCTCCCGATTTCAGCATCACAGAAACCTGAGTCCTTAGCAAGGCCCCGCCAAGTTTCATTGAGGGATCATTTCCCAACGAAAGAGCTGCTTTCCCCACTATTTTCCTGCCTCCCTCTTGATTGAGGACCCATTTTACTTGAGTGCCTCCTTTGCGGCGGCCCAGAATTCAAAACTGAGGATTATCTGCCTATTTGGAAAACTTTGAGCTATGAAGGTAGCTCCTCTTTCCCAGGCTAAATCATTCTCGGCAGGGATTTGATTGAAGGAGGAGGAGGAAGTGGCAGTACTAGTGCTAGTAGCAATTCTAAGAGAAGTGGTAATAACTTTTGACATCAGCAGGATGCAAGAGAAATGGAGTGAATCCTCCCTATTTTTCTTATTCAGGTTGTTACCTCTCTTTCCGCAGAACTCTTTTCCCCTCCTTTCCCAGGGGTTCAGGGGTCTGCAACCTTAAACACTCAAAGAGCCATTTGGACCCATTTCCCAGAGAAAAGAAAACACCGGGAGCCACAAAACCCTTCCTGTGCCTGACTATTTCTTGGGCGGCCACAAAACTAGCATATGTAGTTGAATTAGACGTTCTGTTTTCTTCTGAACTTTTTGGATTTATCCATGGTTAGCCTACCGGGGGTTGAAAAGCTCAATAAATTGCATGCTGGCGGGTGTTGCACATTGGCGGTTGTGATGCATATTTTGAGTGACAGAGCTGCAGCAGAGGGGTAAAGGAGCGACATGCGGCTCCAGAGCTGCAGGTTGCTGATCCCTGCCCTAGTTGAAAGTCAAATAATAATCATTTGGGCATCTATATTCATCAAAGGGTTAAGAGCTCCTGGCTAATGTGTGGCTGGACCACAACCCAGTAGCCTCCCCCCCCCAAACTCTGGGCTGGATGCAACTGAGTTTTGCCACACTTGGGAGAACTTCTTACTCCGGTGGTTGCTGATGGCTGATCTGCAAAGGCCAGAAATGGGAGTGATGTGCACATGCCTGATCTCACGTGTGAGAGCGAAGCCTTTAGTCAGCCGATGCTCTCGGTCCTGTGCTGCAGGGTGACAAGGCGAACGCAGCCTTGATAAAAGGAGTGGGGGGTGTCACTGGGTTAGCTCACCCTGCTTAATGCAAGGATGCGTGGTCTTTTTTATCTATCATGTACTTGGAAGGTGGCCTTTAATTTTGTTGTATGAGGTGCAACGACAATAAAGTAAAGCTTGCAAGGAGCAGGACAACCACCTGACTCCCCGAAAGCTAAGCAGGGTCAGCCTTGATGACTGTTTAAAATAGGGGTCCTCAACCCCCAGGCTGCAGCCCACTATTGGGCCGTGAGCCGTTTGGAACCGGGCCGTGGAAGTGGTGGGTGAGCGGCCGGCCGCACACATCCCCACTTGGGAGAGCCGCAGGCACTCCACGCAAATGGAATATGTGCACACTTGCCCACTGCTCCTGTGGAACCATCCCCTCTCCGGCCGGTCTGCAAAGGTTGGGGGACTCTGGTTTAAGAGGAAGCACCCGAGTGGAGTGCCAGGAGAGAAGGGCAGACGGGCAGTTCAGGAAGGCCTCGAAAGAAGGCTGGGATGGGCTCTTTTCATACTGATGGAGACGTCCGGCTGGCAGATTCTCGCTGTTGTTTCACCCTCTCTTCAGGACCCCTGAAGGAAGCGTTAGATGTCTGCCTGCCCTGCCACTCCGGCAGGTAAGAGCGGAGGAAGCGAGGTGAAGGGTTGGGCTGGCATCTGCTTTGGATTCTTTGGGGGGCAGAAAGAGAGGTAGGAAGAGGACGTCTTCCTGGCAGAAGACTGATGTGGCCGGCCATTCACCCCTCACCTGTTTTCCTTCGGAGGACGCTGGCTCTTTCCGCTTGCCGGGAGCACAGGTGAGCAAAGAGGCTGCCTTCACCAGGCAAGGAGGCCCCGAGGCAGCCAGTGTCCTCCGGTAGCCTTCTCCCTAAGGAATTGACCGGCTCTTTCAGGTGTGCAAGAGGGAGGCACCAGCTGATGCCAGAGCCATCCTCGGGAGCCTCAGGTGACTCTGTCCCAGGAGTCCCCCAACCAGACAGCAGTCTGCCAGCAGGCTCCGCTGGGGGAGGGGAGGGGGGCAGAATAATCAGACCTCCTTGGCAGGGGGGGGGGGAGAGAGAGAGAGAGATGGCACCCCTCTCTTGTGCCCAGGCTGGCAAGGCTTCCCTCCAGCTGCTTGCTGAGACTTGCTTCTTGTCTCACAGGGAGAATTTAACTATTAATGTTCCACTGGTTTCTAAGTGTTGTTGTTATAACCAATGTAACAACCAATATATGGGTTATTATACTGGTTAGTTGTAATTGGTTATATCAACCAGGTGTCATTATATTGGCTTATGGGGTTTCTTCTACTCTATTCCCCCCCCTGCCTCAACGTCTAAACTCTGAGAGAGGAGGAGGGGGGCTTTCCCCACCTCTCCGATTCCAAAAAGTCATCCAGAATAACAGAGTTGAAAAGGGTCCTTGGAGGCCTTCTAGTCCAGCGGTCACCAACCTTTCGGACCTCAGGGACCACTAAATTCATAATTTTAAATCCCGTGGACCACTAATATGAATTTTTTAAAAAAGATAAGTAGTATTTTGTGCAATATAAAAAATGCAAATAATTTTTCTGCGGACCACCAAAATTTTCTCATGGTTGGTGAGCCCTGTTCTAGCCCAACCCTCTGCTCAGGCAGGAGACCCTGTAAGCATTTCAGGCCAATGATTGTCCAATCTCTTCCGGTCTCTTACTGGGGACTAGGAACATTGGATTTAAATTCTGGCAGGTGGAGAGAGGGCCCTGAAGGGCTTTATGTTCAGCCCTGGCACATGGACGGGAGGGAGTCCGGTGGCTGCTCCACAGGTGGCCTTTTGGGTGGGTGGGGGGCGTCAGGTGGAGGGCCTGGAGCCGGAAGGGAGGCCAGACACTCTCCTGGGCTGTGATGTGTGGATGGCTTGGCTCCCAGCTCTGGTCTTTCACACACCTCTCTCTCTCTCTCCCCCCACCCAATCCACTTTGGGAAGCAGCAGCAGCAGCTGCCGAGTTCTCGGTCAGGGCTAGGAAGGGTCACTTCTCTGGCTGATGGAAGCCCTAAGCGTGGAACTGTCGGGTTTCTCGGAGCCTCTTGAGAAATCTTGACGGGGGGGGGGGCTCCATGCACACACTGTTGGGTTGGCAGGGCCCCCCACTCCTGCCTGGGGCAGAAGAAGAAAAGGCTGCCGGGTGGAGAAGAAAAGCCCTTTACGTCTGAGGATGCCCACAAATGACACCGGGGTGGGGGTGGGGGAGAGGCCTGTGGTTTTCCAAGCACCCCCCCCCACTGCCCCCTTCTTGCTGCTGTAATTATCTGATGCATTCAGCAGCAGGACTTTCGGGAAAGCTGACCCTGCTCCCGACAGGCCGGATCTATGATTTGTCTGCGGCAGGCGAGGAGACGGCAGTCGGCAGGGGTGTGTGTGTGTGTGTGTGTGTATGTGTGTGTGTGTGTGTGTGTGCCCCTGAGCAAGTGTTCAAGTTTTGCTGTGTAATGCACGATTCCAGCCCAAGAGAGCCGACAGCAGCAGCCTCCTCTCATTTGCTGGCAGGAAATGTTTTGACTTGCTTGCCTGGAATTACGGCTGTAAAGAATGCTGGGCTTCCAGATCTAACGTTCGTTCGGGGCGTGGGAGAAGGCCCCATCTCGGGGCTGGGCTGGGCCGGGCTGAGAAGAGCTGCTCCCTCGGGGGTCCCACCGGGAGAGGTAAGGGGGCTCCGAGCCTGGCTCCACTCTGCTGCAGTGCAGGTGGGGGGTTTGTGTGAGGGACGTGGGAGATTCGGCTTGTCAACCTTCCTTCTGTACACTTAACTTTTCTTCTGTCTTCCTCCGCCTTCCTCTCCGTCTCGGGTTTCCTGCCAGTCTGTCTGATGGGAGGATGGAGGAAATGAACGCTGAATGACACACACAAAGAAGAGAGAGGTCCTTTTGGATGTTTGTGTATTCTCTGGGTCCAGCAGAGCTGCTCCCTTCCGCTGTGCATGGGGAGACTTTGGGGGTTCACCAGGCTAAGAGCGCCGGTTCTGATTTGCTTCCCGTTGAGAGCCTTGGGAAGGGGGCCCGTTTGCTGACTCGCACTGGGGTGGAGCAGCTGGGAACAGTCATGTAGCACATCTGGAGAAGGTCTAAGATGGAAGGGCGAGTCAGCATACCGGGTAAGGAAAAACATCTGGCCGGTGCTTTTCTTGTGAGAGGCTGCAGCAGCTGCTGGGAGGCTGCTGCTGGAAATCCTGGGGGATCAAAGAGATCCAGAGAGGCCTGAACTTTGGAAGGTCCCAGAGAGCCCCGGGAATCCTGACCTGGAGGTGGCGGAGGCGCCATGCTTGCCCAACTGGCGGAGTTGATCCTGTGCTGGCGTGACTGGCGGTTTGTAGACAGAGGTGTGCCGTTGTTTTCAGGAGGAATTCAGTGTGGGCCGTGATGTAATGCCAAACGGAAAGAGCACCTTGTGTCTCTCCTCCTGAAATTGGTAACCGGATGCCCAGCAGGTACAAGATTTGGGAGCAAGACAAGGGAGAGGGAGAGGATGCCCAGGCTGGTTGCAGTGATTCCAGATCACTCAAGACAGGAGGTCTGAAAAGCAGCCTTGTGCAAAGGCCGCTGAGGGTGGTTGGGTGGGAGAGTGTTTCCTTTTCTCCCCAGGAATGTCTTTGCCAGCATGTTGGGAATTCTCTCTTTCCCCCTCCCACCCTGCCACCACCATCCCGCCCCCTTCCTTCCTCCGGAATGTGCTGTTATAATCAGCAATATTTGGGCCATCTCGTGATTGGGGCGGCTGCTTCTGCCTGGGACTTCTGAGCAGCTGAATCTGCTGGGGGTGGGGTGGGGTGGGGAAAGATCTTTTCTAAGAGCATTTTTCTCCTTTGGAGGTGGCAAAAATAAATACATGAACCATGTCCCTGGAGAACCTCCCTCTCAAAGAAGGGAGGCCTAAGGGACAACGGCTGCTCCTCCAGGTAGGGCTGTAAAAAAAAAGTTAAAACTTTCCTGGAGCGAAGGCACTTCAGGAAATACAAGCTCCTGGGAATTCTGCGATACGGGTAGCCTGCCTGAGTCACCTTATCTGAGCAGTGGCTAAAGAGTTGGAGAATACAAGAGATTGACCTCCTCAACTTGCTTATTTCATAGCCAACTGATCGATTGCTTGGAAGAGGAGCTAACTTCTCCCTGGGGAAGCAGGGGGGAGCTGAAGGGTGTGTAAGGTAAAAGTAAAGGTTCCCCTCGCACATATGTGCCAGTCGTTCCCAAATCTAGGGGGCGATGCTCATCTCCGTTTCAAAGCCAAAGAGCCAGCACTGTCCGAAGACGTCTCCGTGGTCATGTGGCCGGCATGACTCAACGCCAAAGGCGCACGGAACGCTGTTCCCTTCCCACCAAAGATGGTCCCTATTTTTCTACTTGCATTTTTTTTACCTGCTTTCGAACTGCTAGGTTGGCAGAAGCTGGGACAAGTCACGGGAGCTCACCCCGTTACACGGCACTAGGGATTCGAACCGCTGAACTGCCGACCTTTTGATCGACAAGCTCAGCATCTTAGCCACTAAGCTATAGGGTGTGTAGATTCCCATACAATAAATGGGTAGCTTCTTTCTTGGGTGCCTTTGCAAAACTTTTTTTTTTTAAAGAAGAGCTGTTTGTTATGCTATCAAAGGACTCTCCGTGCACCGAGTAAAGCTACGTTTCATTTCAAGGTGCTGAGAGGTTTGTAAAGTATGTGGGCAGTGAGACGCCCTCCCTCCCCCAGGTCACCCTTCTTGGTGTGATAAGAGCAGCAGGTGCGTCCTTCCCAGCCTGGAATTGGGGAGGGGACTGGGCTCACCCCTCCCTCATTGGAGCTGACCTTAGAAAGCGCTAATGCATTTCTCTTCACCTGTTTTTCTCAAATTTCCAAGGAGAATTTAAGAGCATTAACTGAGGCAAAGATGCATCATGTCTAGAGAATTTTCTGTGTCTCCCACCCCCTCCATGTCCATTTTGCCTGTTGCACATTTAAAAGAGGAAAGGACTGGTCCTCACCAGGACCAGAAAGCATGGGGAAACTCTGATTAGGCTTCATTGAGAGCAAAATCTCACCACTGCAGCTAGTTGGAAATATTTTAGTTCATCCCTGCGCTGTGTGTGTTCCGGTCTGTGAGAATTCATTTGGAAAAGATGCACCTGGAGAAAAACAAATTCAAATTCCCCCCAGTGTTTTCTTTAGCAAGATGAATGGGAAAGGCAGGTGTTGTGTGCAAAGATTCCAGCAGTCAAACTGTATTCCGTGGAGCACCGATATATGATATATCTCCCGCATGTTAGGGTGGAGTCTCTCGAAGGCTTTTTCTCACAGTCTCGTAGTGCCCCAGAGGGGAGGCGTCTCCCTTCACTGAGGGTGGGGAGGTTTGCAGTTGGTTGGATCTTTATCAGTCTGGGAACCAAGACTTAGATAGGGGTGGCCGTATGTCTGGGTGCTGCAGTGATTGATTCCTTCCCTGAACGGGGAGTTGGACTGGATTAAGGTTTTTGTTTTGTTTTTTAATTTGATTTATATGCCGCCCTTCTCCGGAGACTCAGGGCGGCTTACAATGTGCTAAGCAATAGCCTTCATCCTTTTGTATATTTATACAAAGTCAGCTTATTGCCCCCACAAACTGGGTCCTCAATTTACCTACGTTAGAAAGGATGGGAGGCTGAGTCGACCTTGAGCCGTGAGGTTTGATTGTTGGACTAGATCAAAGAAGAGGGAGTCAAGCTATTCTCCAAAGCACCTGAGGGCAGGACAAGAAGCGATGGGTGGAAACTAATCAAGGAGAGAAGCAACTTAGAACTAAGGAGAAATCTCCTGACAGTGAGAACAGAAATTTCTAACCAGTGGGACAGAAGGTGTGAGTGCTTCATCACTGAAGGCTTTTAAGAAGCGACTGGACAGTTACTTGCTTGAGCAGGGGGTTGGACTAGGAGACCTCCAAGGTCCCTTCCAGCTTTGTTCTGATTGATGGATTCCCAACCTTGGCCACTTGAAGATGGGTGGACTTCTGGGAGTTGGAAGTCCACCCATCTTCAAATGGCCAAGGTTGGGAAACCATGGACTAGATACTCTCCTTCACTTCCATGTGGCCTCACCGTTGACTTTCCCTTCGGTTTCTGGAAAAATCAGATGCCAGCCAGCTCCTTTCCAGTAGGGAAGAATGACCTTCTTCCCAAGAGACCTTTCAATGCCCTTTAAGCTGACCTTATTCAGGAGCCCACAAATGTTAATGCCACTATGTGACCTACAATAAAAAAAATCACAGTTCCCCCCAGAAAGTTTTCCAAACCCCAAGTCTGGAAAACTTCCCAAAGCAGAGAAGAGGCTAGGAACAGCAGTCTCTGCCCTCTCCTGGCCATGCTCCTACTTGGAGTACAAAACCCCAAACCCCAATGGGAAAAGCCGGAGCCCTCCAGGAGGTGGAAATGGATCTCTGCCTGTTGACCTCCTCCTGGATCTCCTGCAGCTTCTGGTGTGGCTCTTGGTGGGTCCGGCCTGAGTCAGGCTGATGTCATTGAGGCTGGCGACTTCCTCCAGATTGTCCTCCCGCCTGGGCGTTCCCTGACCTCGGGGTTTACTCCTACTAGTAAAAACAACACTTAACTAATTAGGGAGCGAAGGCCTCTTCGTCTTAAAGACATAACCGTCTCATCAGCAAAATGTGGGTTAGAGGGATAGCCTGCAGTTTTGTAAAGTGGCAAATTCTGTTCCGTTTTCTGAAATTGTGTCTGGGGCCAGCCTGATGGTTCGTGCCTTTTAAAATGGGATAATTTCACGTCTCCCGGTGAGCCGCGGAGTGTTATGCAATGCCTGGGCTATAAAATAGGGACGATTTTTGGCATGGAGGGAATTTAGCAAACAAGGAAACGGCTCATCCCTTCGGGCTGCCAGGCGGCTGCTGCTGCAGGAAAGTAGGAGATGGTTCAACACCCCCTCCCTGCTTGTTTACCTAGAAGAAAATGGGCCTAAGGACAGGAAAATTCCCAACGGAAAAAGAAGAATTGCTCCAGATCAGAGATGAACCAGCCGGAAGGAAGGAAGGGAGGGAGGGAATGTCAGGTAGCCTAGTGGTGAAATCCAATTTTTTTTACTATTGGTTCTGTGGGCGTGGCCTGGTGGGCATGGCAGGGGAAGGATACTGCAAAATCCCCATTCCCTCCCCATTCCTGGGGGAAAATCTCCATTCCCACCCCACTCCTGGGGGAAGGATATTGCAAAATCTCCATTCCCAACCCACTCTGGGGCCAGCCAGAGGTAGTATTTGCTGGTTCTCGGAACTGTTCAAAATTTCCGCTACTGGTTCTCCAGAACCTGTCGGAACCTGCTGGATTTCACCCCTGAGGTAGCCTCTTCCAACAAGAAGACCCAGCCAACTGACCGACCGACCGGTGGAGCCAAATGATTCTCTGGGCTGCAAACATTTTCATTGCGCTGGATGGCTTGCAGCTGGGGAAAATGTGTGTGTGGAGGGGGAGAACTACGCCGCAAACAGGGAGGGGGTGTTCCCTGGGCATCCACCAAGCAAACCTACTGGCAGGCAGCAGCTTCTGCCGTGTGATGGTACTTGTTGGTCAAGGCTGCTTTTCTGGACACCTGTTCCCTGGCCAGAAAGATCCACGGACAGCTCCTGGGTTTACTTTTCCTCCCTGCTGTTTGTGAGTTTTCTCCAGCTTTTCACCTGGTGGATTGAGCCTGGACCTGGGCGGAGTTAATTCCTTGCCAAGGGGGTGGCTAGCTTTAATCCTGGATAGTTACTAGCCCCAAGGGAGGAGGAGGCGGCCTCCCTGCTAAAACCCTGAAACTCCTTGGGTCAGTTTCGGTTCTCAATCCAGCCTCCCCTCCCTCCCTCCTCCCCATCTCGGTTGTATGTGTGCTCAAGAGCTCCGTCCTCACCACCGAGTGTTTGCTAGGACAGTTTGTGTATTTGCTTAAGACCTGGATGTCCCTTAGTGACAGAAAACCAGGAGGCCCAAACAAGTTTGAGAAGAGGACCGAATGAGGAGGGGATCTTTTCAGCCAACACGAAGCAGCTGAAGCAGCGTCTCTTTTAGTGCAGTCGCCGGTGTTAAAAACAGGGTGTTTAACAGATCCCACAAAAAGCACTGATGAATTTCAGGATTTGTTGTAGCAAAAAATCCCGAGTCTGGTAATGCCTTCTTTGAACCTCTTAGAAGGTTTTGTGGGCTGTGGCTCTACATCTTCGGGGGTTTACTCTAGTGTAACGTAGAATCCTTCCTAAAGACTCAAGCGTTCCTCCATGCCGGATGAGAGGTGTAACCCTTTAGCTGCATAATAACACAACCCTGGCAAAATTAATCAGCTGAATGAACCTTATTAGATATGGATTTGTGTTCCTAATTTATTGTTTTTTTCTTTTCTTTCTCTCTCTCTCTCTCTCTCTCTCCCCTCCCTCCTGCTCCTTTTTTAGGTGTTGTGTTAATGCGCAAAAATGGCCAACACCACACAGATATCCAAAGATGAGCTAGAGGAACTCAGGGAGGCCTTTTCCAAAGTTGGTAAGTGGTTCTGTTTGTGCCAGAATCAGGCCTGATGCATTTGGCTTGGACCCGTTTCCCAGAACTTTGTTTATTTTTGCCATCATAAACATTTTCTAGTATTTTACTTCCTTTTCACCAATTACACTTACTTAACTTCTGATTTGAAAAAAGATAAGGCTCCCTCCTTCGATTTCAGTACAGGTAGTTCTTGACTTAATAACTGGCCACTTAACAGCCATTTGAAGTTAGGACGGACCTCCCCAGAGCTACTCACAACCCAGTTTTGAAGTTCCAAAGGCTGCCCCACCCCCACCCACCCCTGCAGTCATATGTCTGCATTTTGGGTGCTCGGCACAGGCTATTTGCAGCCTCTTGTGGTCTCGTGACCATGATTTATGACGTGTTTTATGGAAACCAGAGTTTACTTTTAGTTTCTAGCAGAAAAAATAAATAAAAATGCTCATTGGATACAGTGGGTGGACTTAACAACTGTTGTAAAACAAAAGTTGTAAAATCCGGCAAACTCACATGTTGAGCTGTTGAACCAACTGTGGCTCCAACTAAGTCAAGGGCTGAGCTGTATTTGGGGTGCGTTTGATAGCACCCTGAAGGTAAGCTCAGGCCCATTTGTTGAGAGGGAACGGATCCTGGTGGAGCCGGCATCCAGTTTCTCTCGCATCTTCTGGATGGACAGCTGGGATGCGGCTCTTGTTTTGACAGCCAGAGAAGGATAATATATAGCCCCCTCCGTCCACCCACCCCTTTTCTGTCTCAAAATAGTCTTTATGACTCTACATTTCCTTGCTGGCCAAAAAAAGAGAGTATCTCTTTCCTAGCTGTGACTGTTTTGAAATTAGCCACCGAAACCTGAAAGAATTAAAGGTGAAGGTTCCCCTTGCACATATGTGCCAGTCGTTCCTGACTCTAGGGGGCAGTGGTCATCTCCGTTTCAAAGCCAAAGAGCCAGCACTGTCCGAAGACGTCTCCGTGGTCATGTGGCTGGCATGACTCAACGCCAAAGGTGCACGGAACGCTGTTCCCTTCCCGCCAAAGGTAGTTCCTATTTTTCTACTTGCATTTTGTACCTGCTTTCCAACGGCTTGGTTGGCAGAAGCTGGGACAAGTCACGGGAGCTCATCCCGTTACGCGGCAGCACTAGGGATTCGAACCGGTGAACTCAGTGGTGGGCAAACCGGTAGTAGCGGCAGTGGGAGGTTCCGCCCACCCACCCAGACAAGCTCAGTGTCTTAGCCACTGAGCCACTGCGTCCCATATTCTGAAAGAATTCTGAATTCTTTCAATTCTGAAAGAATTAGCCTTGCAAAAAAAAAAAAAAAAAAAAATCTGCAGAATTTAGCTTTAGACCGGGCAAGTGGAGCAGGAGGTGGCGAATGGCCTCCAATGACTTTGGATGTTGAGCTTGCAGTAGGACAGGGGTCTCCAACCTTGGCAACTTTAAGTCTCGTGGACTTCAACTCCCAGGAAGCTATGCTGGCTGAGGAATTCTGGGAGTTGAAGTCCAGAAGTCTTAAAAGTTACCAAGGTTGGAGACCCCTTCAGTAGAGTGTGGGCATAAGGGGGCTTGAGATCAGGCCCCTGCCTTGTTCCTGCTCCGATTTTCCCAATCTCTCTTTGTTTTCCACCTGAAAGATCTCAACAGCAACGGTTTCATCTGTGATTATGAGCTGCACGAACTCTTCAAGGAAGCCAATCTTCCCCTCCCGGGATACAAAGTCCGAGAGATCATCCAGAAGCTCATGATCGAGGGAGACAAGAACAAAGATGGAAAGATCAGCTTTGAAGAGTTTGTTTACGTAAGGCTGGTGTTAGTCCTCTGATTCCCCCAAACTCTGGGCAGCGGCTTCTCCTGGGAGACCATCCTTCAGTCCTTCATCCATGCATTTATTCACCCTATTATTCTACCACCCATCGCAGCCCTTTTCTGGACAGACTTAAAATGTGTGAAGCACCAAAACAATGTTGAAAGCAGCAGAGCAGAGAAAGCCGAGCCAGCAAATTGGGGGTTCCTCAGAATTAAATTATGGTGGATTAATCCAGGACCTTCTAAAAGGTTCCACCTCTGGGTTCCCGTTTCTCTGCTGCTGAAACCCGAAAGAATAACAAAATAAAAGAGTTGGACAGGACCTTGGAGGTCTTCTAGTCCAACCCCCCTCCCCAAGGTAGGAGACCTTATTGCAAATAGCTGTCCAAACTTTTCTTTAAAATCTCTTGTGATGGAGCCCCCACAACTTCTATTATTTATTAATTATTATTTTATTAATTAAATTTCTATACCACCCTTCTCCAAATAGGACTCAGGGCGGTGCACAGCCTAAGTAAAAACAGAGCATACAAAATTTAAAAAACAGTATTAAAATAATTAAATATTTTGGCCGTAAATTAAAACAACCCAATTTAAAATCAATTTAAAATTTAGCTCAAGCCAGCCCTTCTAGAGACAAGTTCTTCCACTGATTAATTTTCCAACTGTCAGGAATTTTTTCCTCACCTCTAAGTTGGTTGTCTCCTTGATTAGTGTCCGTGCATTACTTCTTGTCCGGCCCTTCAGAGAATAGGTTGACCCCCTCTTCTTTCTGGCAACCCCTCAAATGTTGGAAGACTGCTATCACGGCACCTCTAGTCTCTCAGAAGAGTCTTCAGGATTGGTGTGGGACTCTCCTGCCCCCCAGGTCCTCTTCTCTTCTCTCCCAGAACTTATTCTGGGTTCTATCCCAGGATTCTACTAGATCCTGGCTAGATAGACTTTGGCAACTGTGACACAAGACCCATCCGTCTTCAGATGCTTCCACAAGACCCTCAAGTCCCTGAATTAATTGTGCACATTTACGTTTGCAGATCTTCCAAGAAGTGAAAAGCAGCGATGTGGCCAAGACCTTCCGCAAAGCCATCAATCGGAAGGAAGGCATCTGCGCCATCGGGGGCACTTCGGAGTTGTCCAGCGAAGGCACCCAACACTCATACTCAGGTGCTGCCCGGGAGCTTCATTTCCCCTCCTGGCCCTGCCAGACCTGTGACTGGCCCTTTTCTGCCCTTCCTACATCTGCCGTGAAGTTCTCACAGCTGCCCAAACATCTTCTGTAGACCACAACACCCTTTGTGGCCAAAGTCCCAATGATTAAGCCAGTTTATTTTCTTCTCCACCTTCCTTGACAGACCCAATATCCTAATATCCATTAGGTCTGTAGTCCCGGTTCTTGAGTGATCTAAAGCAGGGAGAAAGTCTATCTCGGGACTTTTCTACTACAGGTAGTCCTCAACTGACCGTTTGTTGAAACACAGTTGAAAGTTATAATGGTTTCTGGCCAAAAGCCATTTCAGTTCCAATTGTGGTCATAAGTTGAGGACTGTCTGTAATTAATGCAGCATTGATGCATTGGTGCCCAAGGGGACGAGAAGGGTAAGATGGAAGACATGGTGTTGCAATGCAAGCCCCACCCTTCCAACTTCAAGGGGAGAACTGGCATTGAGTCTCATATCTATTCTCTTGCCTTGGCAAACTGTTGTACCCCATCCCATCCTACTGCCCCCCCCCAGGTGCCAGTGGGGGGCTTTGAGCTGCAGCGTTGGTCGGTTTGCCCACTGGTGTCCCTTGAGTGTTAATCTCGGGGCCTCTCTCTACTCCAGAGGAGGAGAAATACGCCTTTGTGAACTGGATCAACAAAGCTTTGGAAAATGACCAGGATTGCAAGCATGTCATTCCCATGAACCCAAACACAGATGACCTCTTCAAAGCCGTCGGGGACGGGATCGTCTTGTGGTGAGTCTCCTGCCCTGGGGCGATGCCCATGGCGGTGGGAGGTGGGCAGGAGAAGCCCCCGCGAAGAGGGAGCCTATTCTCCGTTCTCTCTAATGCCGTGGATTCCCGGCTGGGTGTCCGTTTTCCTTCTTCTTTCCCTGCAGTAAAATGATCAACCTCTCCGTCCCTGACACCATTGATGAACGAGCCATCAACAAGAAGAAACTTACCCCATTCATAATTCAGGTGGGGGTCCATTGTTTCCCAGGTCTTCTCCCCCCCACAGCTTAAATAATCTTGGGTTTGTTCGAGATCCAAGGGGGCGGCTGGGAGAGGGGATGGGTTTTGTTTGCTTTTAATTATTAAAAGAGGCTTTTGTGCTGAACTCTTTGTTGGATGTTGAAAGCAGAACCTTTCCCAACAGAAGAGAGGGTGCTCAGTAAATATTAATTGCAATCAAAGAGGAAGAGAAGCCAATGCTGCATTTGGCATCTATTCAAGTGGGGAAACTATCAGGAGCTTTTCAATTAGATTGCCCCCTCTCCACTTCTTCTCTTCCTCCCTCTTTTTCCTCTCTTTCTCTTTCCTCCTCCCTTTTTTCTTTCCTCCTCCATCTTTTTTTCCTTTTCTCTCCTCTCTTCCCTCCTTCATCAGTTACTGGCGCCTCAAGTCTTATCTTGCTCTGGCAGTGAGAAAGCAAGACATTTCTCTGTTGTTTTCAGCCTGCTATCTCTCCCGTTCAAGGTTGGCAAGGCAGGGAGTTTTAAATGTTTTGGTTCAGAGAAGCATTTGTTTAACGTCCCTCATCGGGTGGCCGATGGTGTGGAAGAGATTCATGGCCTCTGTAGGCGTCGCATCCTGAGCTGACCTGAATCTCACAGCCTCAAGGCTGCAGATGACTTCCTATTTAAAGGAAGTCACTTCTCCATTTGCAGGAAAATCTGAATCTGGCTCTGAATTCTGCTTCCGCCATTGGGTGCCACGTGGTCAACATTGGAGCAGAGGATTTAAGGGAAGGAAAGCCCCATCTGGTCCTTGGCCTTCTCTGGCAGATTATCAAGATTGGCTTGTTTGCCGATATTGAACTCAGCAAAAATGAAGGTAAGAGAAGCTCATCTGGGCCTCTGCTGGGAGGTTGTTCCATTGCCAGTGGCTCATTTCCACTGTTGGTTGCAGAGGGCATTGAATGGGTTTGAGCATGGCTGGACTAGCCTTTGACGGGGGAAAATTATACAATGGGATGAACAAGTAACGGGATCAGAGATCCAGCAGGTTCTGACCAGTTCTGGAGAACCCGTGGCGGAAATTTTGAGTAATTCGGAGAACCGGTAGTAAAAATTCTGACTGGCCCCGCCCCCTATTCTCTATTCTCTGCCTCCTGAGTCCCAGCTGATCGGGAGGAAATGGGGATTTTGCAGTAACCTTCCTCTGGAGTGGGGAGGGAATGGTGATTTTACAATATCCTTCCCCTGCCACGCCCACCAAGCCACACCCAAAGAACCGGTAGTAAAAAATTTTGAAACCCACCACTGAACGGGATGGGAATAGAATAGAATAGAATAGAATAGAATAGAATAGAATAGAATAGAATAGAATAGAATAGAATAGAATAGAATTCTTTATTGGCCAAGTGTGATTGGACACACAAGGAATTTGTCTTTGGTGCTTAAGCTCTCAGTGTACATAAAAAGAAAAGATACATTCATCAAGAATCATAAGGTACAACACTTAATGATAGTCATAGGGAACAAATAAGCAATCAAATCATACTAGGAAAACAATCAATATGAATCATAAGGATACCAGCAACAAGTTACAGTCATACAGTCCTAAGTGGGAGGAGATGGGTGATAGGAGCAATGAGAAGATTAATAGTAATAGCAATGCAGACTTAGTGAATAGTTTGACAGTGTTGAGGGAATTATTTGTTTAGCAGAGTGATGGCGTTGGGGAAAAAACTGTCCTTGTGTCTAGTTGTTCTGGTTGTGCTCAACATTCATTTAAGCGCTGTGCAAAGAATGGGATATGCCAGCAGGATGTCCACACTGGTGTTTTTCAAACTTGGCAACTTTAAGAGGTGTGAACTTCAACCCAGAATCCCCTAGTTAGTATGGGGAATTCTGGGAGCTGAAGTCCACACAAAGTTGCCAAATTTGAAAAGCCTTGGTCTAAATAACCAACAATTAAGCCAAAGTGTTTCCTAAATGGGTTAGTTCAGAAGTGTACAGTATCTCCTTTCTTTCTACATAAGAATAAGATGACAAATTTTGTTTTCCAAAGGCTAAGCATTTGGCCAGAGAAGTTTGCTCCCGCCCTCTTCGAATACCAAAATAGCCACAGTCTCTCTTGGCCACATCGAACAGACTGGTTTATGCTTCCCATAAATTAAAACCCTCATTTGACCTTATTTTGGTTTCATAATCCAGCATAATAAAAAGAAAGAAAGAAAGAAAGAAAACATCTGCCAAGGACTTAACCCTCAAAGTCATTAATTTGCTTCCCTTGTAAATAAAGTGAAGAGATCAAATCTAAGGATTAAGATTTAGCAGAGGCAATTTTTAAAGAATTCTAATAAACCGCTTAGCGTTCAATTGATTTCTCTGAATGGTTTTGAGAGCCAGCATGCTGTGGTAGTCAAAGACTTGGGCCAGGACTAGGAGTTCCCTGTCCAAATCCACCCTCAGTCCTGCAGACTTATGGGGTGACTTTGGACCAGTTGCCCTCTCAGCTTCAGCCCGGTCCATCCTTTTGCAACAGTGTGGGTGAAATGAAGAGACCTCTCCATGGAAGCTTCCAGGATCTCTTGGGGCACATGAGGGTTTGCATCTACTGAAGAGACAAATGAAGTGTGTTCCTTGGGGAGGGTGAACCATGAACTGGGGGCCTGCAGTGAGACTTCCCTCTCTCCCCTTTTCAGCATTGGCTGCCTTGCTGTGTGATGGGGAGACTTTGGAGGACCTGATGAAGCTGTCCCCAGAAGAGCTTCTCCTGCGATGGGCCAACTACCACCTGGAGAGCGCCGGGTGGCACAAGATCAATAACTTCAGCTCTGAGATAAAGGTATTGGAGGCCTCGGTGGGAGGAGGTCCATGCAAGTCTTCCATTTGGGAAGGGCGGGGGGGTCCAGGGAGTTTGCTCTGGATTAAGTGATTTACATCCTTAGCCTTCTCTCAGTCCAAATTATTGTCCATCTAACCTTCTTAATTCTCTTCTCCCCTATGCTGTCCGGACTTTCTTTCTCTTTCTCGTTCTCTCTCTCTCCTTTGGCTTTTTCTCTTTTGATTTTGCAAGCTTTCCGACTTCCATAACTCTGTCAAGGTACTGGAACCCTTCCTACTTCTGACTAACATATTACATCACATGGGATTGATTCATAACGTTGGGCTGAAAAAACTCAGCTGCTTCTTTCTCAACCTCAGGCTGGCTGGGGAATTCTGGGAGTTGAAGTCCATCCATCTCAAAGTTGAAAGACCCTGTTCTAATCTCCTTTGTCTGGTTCTGCCTCCTCCAGGACTCCAGAGCCTACTTCCATCTCCTCAACCAAATTTCCCCCAAAGGACAAAAGGAAGGAGAACCACAAATCAACATCAACATGTCAGGCTTCAATGTGAGTATGGGTCTTGGTGGCCTGCTGGGAACCTTGGAATTACCATTCTACTAATCCTCTCAATAGAAGCTGTATTTCCCACCCAATGATGTCGGTGGCCAGCATTTGGGGTTATTAGAGGGTTCTAATATTATTAGAAAGAACTTGGTTCTCTCGTTGTCTTCTGGTTTCAAGCATTCACTCTACCAAGCAACACTTAGGAACCCTTCACCAGGGACAGTCTGGCTGGTTTTCACTGTCAAAATGCATGTAATTCTTTATTTGAAGACCTCGTAGAAGGAGGTCTATGCTAGTCTATGATGGTTCTCTTCATCGGGAACTCCTTCTGTGAAGAACATCCCAAAGGGGGGGAAACATAAAAAGAAATCAAGATGGCGGCCTCAAAGCCCGATTGTGGCTGCTGTCTTCATATCCCTGTGGGTCCTGTGGTCTTCCAGATCTCAGAGCCCGCCTTTGAAAAGACTTCTCCCAAAGTAGTGGCTTCATCTAACCCAACGTCAGAAAGTACCATCTGTGCCATTCCTTCTCTGCAGGAGAAAGATGACCTCAAGAGGGCCGAGTGCATGCTCCAGCAAGCAGATAGACTGGGCTGTCGGCAGTTTGTTACCCCGGCAGATGTTGTGAGCGGCAACCCCAAGCTGAATTTGGCCTTCGTGGCCAACTTGTTCAACAAGTACCCAGCCCTCACCAAACCTGAAAATCAAGATATTGACTGGACATTGCTAGAAGGTGAGAAGTTTCTCCTTCTGTGTGATTAATAGGAGGGGGTGAGAGAGAAAGAGAGGGGAGGAGGAGAAGGAGGGAGAGAGGGAGGGAAGGGAAGGGAAGGAAGGAAGGAAGGAAGGAAGGAAGGAAGGAAGGAAGGAAGGAAGGAAGGAAGTTGTCTTTGCATCTTTGTGTACTAAAGACTTTTTCTGCTTTCTTGGTTTAGCATTTTTAGGACATTTGCTTTAGTTTTGTGTCTTTGGTGTTGTCCATATGTAGAGAAGCAAAGGCAGATTCCTTCAACAGCATCTCTTTGTATCTTAGGTGAAACCCGTGAAGAACGGACGTTCCGCAACTGGATGAACTCTCTTGGTGTAAACCCTCATGTCAATCATCTCTACATGTACGTCCGGCTGTCTTTCATGAGGCCTGGTTGACACGACCAGGATCCCATCCGCAGCTCTTTTTTGAAAACTCAACTTCTCAGTGAGCAGATTTCTGTTTTGTCTTCTAGTGACATGCAAGACGCCCTGGTGATTTTACAGCTCTATGAGAAGATCAAAGTCCCTGTTGACTGGAACAAAGTCAACAGACCTCCATACCCGAAACTTGGGGCAAACATGAAGAAGGTGCTGGAATCTGGTTGTTCCTAAACTATCCATTTTCAGTTCATTTCAGGGAAATCCTGTGGCTTTAGCCCATGTTGTTAAAGGAGTTCTAGATGCTGACCCAAATAGCTGATAGCTGATGCCCACACTTCGCTCCACACAGGGTTGGGCCAAAGAGCTGATTCCCCCCCCCCCTTGCATTCTGTGAAATGAGAGCCTCTCATCCGGGGCAAAGCCCTTGCTTGACTTATAGAAAAGGCTTTTCAAGCTCCAAAGTCTTCTGGCAAGGAGAGATGCAAAGAAGACCACTAAGGCAGCTTCCTGGCCCCACCCAAGACTTAACTGTGATCTCTCTCTCTCTCTCTCCCTCTCCCCCCCCTCTCTCCTCCGATCTCCTTCTGTCTCACCAAACAGCTGGAAAACTGCAACTATGCAGTCGATCTCGGAAAGCATCCAGCCAAGTTTTCATTGGTTGGTATCGGCGGCCAGGATCTTAACGATGGGAACCCGACCCTCACCCTGGCTGTAGTCTGGCAGCTGATGAGCAGGTATCCTTGCATCCGTACCACTTAGTCCGAGTCATTTGAGGCTCACACTCTCCGTGAAAAACCTACTTTTCTAGGGGTTCAAACATGCCTAGAAGTTCCCTCAGAGCAGTGGTGAAATCCAATTTTTTTTACTGCCGGTTCTGTGGGCGTGGCTTGGTGGGTGTGGCAAGGGAAGGATACTGCAAAATCTCCATTCCCTCCCCACTCGAGCCAGCCAGAGGTGGTATTTGCCAGTTCTCCAAACTACTCAAAATTTCCACTACCAGTTCTCCAGAACCTGTCAGAACCTGCTGGATTTCACCCCTGCCTCAGAGGCTTTCCCCAGTTTTTGTGTGCTGAGTAACTTTTCTGTGTCTCCTTTGCCCAGATACACTCTGAATGTTTTGGAGAACCTCGGAGATGGTCAGAAAGTCAACGATGACATCATTGTAAATTGGGTGAACACGACTTTAAAAGAAGCTGGGAAATCAAGTTCTATCCAGAGCTTTAAGGTGGGTAATTTAGATCTTGTTGTCACAAAGAGGCCAACTAGTGACCGGGAGCAGTTGGAGTGAGTGAATCGGGAAATGGACAAACGTTGCTCCTTAGAGCAGACCCTAGAAAAATATCCATTCCCCCCGCCCCATTCCAGCAGCTGGATTTTTAAAGGCTTACTGAGCATCTGAAATAAATAAATGAATAAATAAATAAAGTTGATTGTCATTGTACATTTATACACAGTATACCCATACAATGAAATTCACTTAACACCCAAAGACCAGGTCCAACACACATAACAATCCCCAGACACACACACACCCACCACAAATTCCCCACCCCTAAACCACCCGAACATCCACACAACAGACCAAGTAATGCTGCCCAACAGCTCAATGATGGTGGTCCTTTAGTTCATTGTTGAGTGCAATTATAGCTCTGGGATAAAAACTATTCAGAAAACATGTGGTCCAAGTTTTCATTGTTCTGTATCTTCTGCCAGAAGGCAACAGTCCAAAAAAGATGGTAAGCAGGATGGGAAGAGTCTCTGAGAATGTTATACAACTTCCTCAAACGGCGAGATTCGAAGATGTCATCCAGGGCTGGTAGCTGGAGTCCAATGATATTCTGGGCAGTTTTAATGATTCTCTGTAGAGCTTTTTTGTCCGCTACAGAGCTGCTCCCATACCATGCAAGAATGTCGTATGTCAGGACACTCTCGATGGTGCTGCGATAGTAGGACAGAAGGAGATGCTGAGACAGATTTATCTTCCTGAGCATTCTCAGGAAGTACAGCCTCTTCTGTGCCTCCTTTGCAAGCATGTTAACATTCATAGTCCATGAGAGGTCCTTCGAGATATAAATGCCCAGAAATTTAAAACTACCCACCCTCTCTACCTCCTCACCATTTATGTACAATGGTAAATGTTGCAAAAAGAAGTTTTGCAATAAAATAATGCTGAGTTTTCTGCTCATTTACAGTAATAACTTTCCTGGTCATCTTTAGATAGCTGCCTTGTCTCCAAAAAGCAAATCAATCAGGCATTATTGAAAAATTTATCCTGGGCACCATCAGGAAACAGTTTCGTATCTTTACTGGCAGAAAAAGATGTTGATTTTGCTTTGCACAAACCCTAGAACACCACAAATTTGAGCACTGTTCCAAGCGGACCAGACACATCACCAACTGACCAGTCCTTCTCCAGCGACTGGGTTCCTCCGTGTTCTCCCCCCCCATTTAAAATGGGTGGTGTTCATCGGATGCTTCCACCCTTTTCATTGATGTGACCCTCATTTTTCTCTCCAGGACAAAAGTATCAGCAGCAGCCTGGCCGTGGTGGATTTAATCGACGCTATTCAACCCGGCTGCATAAATTACGACCTTGTGAAGACAGGCGATCTCTCCGAGGAAGACAAACACAGCAATGCCACGTGAGAGGCCAGATTTAGTTGCCCTTTCAGTCTTCCTCTGGGGCCTGGCTGGTTCAGACGGCACGTTTAATGTTGGTCTAAGCTCCAAGCTCGGCAATTTGGTTGCAAACGTTTCGTCACCATTCGAGGAGACGTCGTCAGTGCACTTTGAATTGTGCTCGTCGGTTAGAACACTGGTCTTTAAATACCTTTTTATGTGATGTAAATGAGTGTGGATTTGTTTGTTACTTCTGAGTCATGGTCTGATTGTTGTTTGGCTGTTGTTACACGGTCTTTGGTTTTGAGTACCGTCTGCATGATGTAAATTAGTGTAGTTAGTTCGGATGCTTCTGAGTCTGGTTTCGGACTGTTTGGCTGGTTCTGAAACCAGACCATGACTCAGAAGCATCCGAACTAACTGCACCAATTTACATCACACAGGTAAATAAAAAAGGTCGTATTAAAAAGGAATTTAAAGACCTGTATTCTGACAGATGATCACAATTCAAAGCGCACGGACAGCGTCTCCTCGAATGGTGACGAAAGGTTTGCAACCAAATTTCCAAGCTCGGAGCTCAGAGCAACAGCCCAACTACCAACCCGAGCTACTCATATTCAAACACATCTCAGGCACGTTTAATCTCAGGTGGTGGGGGAAGGCATCGTCAGTAGTCATGCCCAAAGACCTGAGCCACGGCACCAGCTGTGGCTGGCAAGTCATAAGAGCTGGGCTCACCTGTTCTCGATTCAAGGGAAGCCAGCCGGACTCCCTCATCTGGCATGTCTTTCGCCAGGTCTCTGGGGGCAGCTTAACCCATCCTTCTCCATCTATCCCATGGGTGTTTGACTGGTCCAGGGTTCAGGGCCTCCTCTGCTGGGGTGCATGCAGATCTCTTGCCCAATCTGAACACGCCCCTCTTTCCTGTTTTAGATACGCCGTCTCCATGGCCAGGAGGATCGGTGCCCGCGTCTATGCCCTGCCAGATGACGTGGTCGAGGTGAAACCCAAGATGGTGATGACTGTGTTTGCCTGCCTGATGGGCCGAGGGCTGAAGCGTGTTTAAGGAGCAAAGACCCCCCCCCGCCTGCCCCCCCCCCCTCCCCAGCGCAGATGCCCGACTGAAGTGCTCTGCTCCGCTTCCAGAACGGTGGACTCTCTTTGGCTGAAGGACCCTCCGTTGGGCTTGGCAACCCAGACCAGGAGAAGCCTCGGAGAGGGGACGGGAACCAATCTAGCCACCTCCCTCCCTCCCTCTTTTTCTCCCTCCTTCCCTTCCTCAGAAAATTCAAGGTTGCATCTCCTCAAGTGCCCAAGGGAACAATCCGCACTCATGCCGGTGGCCGGCACACCGACCAAAGCTTTCTTTCCTCCTCCAGAGGGGCCGTTTTTGGGAGAGTTGTCGGTCATGGGGTTGGCCTTAAAGCTCCCGCCTGACTCTCCTGTCCTGAAAGGAAGAAGGAAAGAAAAGAAAGTTTCCTTTAAAAAAAAAATAATAATAGAAGTTTCTAGTGGTCCAAAGGTTTTGAGATGGGCTTGATTTTTTTCTTTCTCTTTTTAATTTAACCTGCTGTTCGGTCATGGGTGCAAATGCAGAAACATTTTAAAGCCACCCCTTTAAAGGAAACAAAACCTAAAAACCACTTAGCAGAAATCATGCAAAGTTAGGCAAGAAGGCATAAAGGCTTTTTAAAAAAAACTTACATAATTTATCCGGTTGTGGAAGCTAATTTGGCACACTCCGTTCTTCACGATTTAGTCACAGAGGAGGAGGAGGAGTTGTGCCACTGAAAGTCTTAGGAGACCCCCTCTGGCTTCTGAGACTCCCAACTGTCTCTCACTTTCAGTCCACCTCCTGAAGGACTAGAAACTTGGTTTGGTTTTGATTTCAGTGTGTGAGTTTCCCATTTGGGGAAGCAGGATTTGGTGCCCCGCTGCCCCTTGTGGTGCTCTGGCACCTGGCCGGGTTCAAGTGGGCGAAGCTTGAGCAGCTGCCAAGCTCAGTCTTCCTGCAGCCTTCTGAAATCCTGGTGCTGCCTTCATTTGCCTTCACAGCACAACACAAGTGTTGTCGCTTCCCTTTTCCGACAAAAGCACAACACGCTTTCCTTTGTGCGAGGTTTTTTATTTCCACGTTACTCATTTTTATGCGAGGTACCGCCTCCAAAGGTTACCGCCTTGCCTGAGCTTAATTGAGCCCAGAGAACTGAATTGATGCAATTTTTATGTGTTTTCTTTTGTATTTTGCCTGGACATATTTTTTTTAAGTTTTGTTGTTTTTTTTCCAAAAACTGCATGGAAACCAATTTTTTTTTTAAAAAAAATAAGGTATTTAAGTTGACATGAGCTGTTTGTTACAAACTGTGTGAGAAGGGTGCCACAGGTGAGACCGGGCCCGTTCTGCAAAAGGCAGGGACTAGTAACTTGAAGAGCAGAATGTGCCGAGATTAAAGAAACTATTTTTTATAAATAAAAGGAAAATGTTATCACCAAAGAAAAGGCTTTTATCCATAGGAGCAAGTATATTCTGGCTTTAGCAAGCTGTTAGCTACCCCTGAGATCATCTTGTTACATATTCACAGCATTGGATTATGGTGGCAAAGCAGTTGATGATGAAATAAAAATGGTTTATAAACCTGGCATCTGGATTTCTTTCGCAAAAACTCTTTGAAATTCAACTCTGGCTTGGAATCCTGGTTTTGACAGTGCAGGTCTTGGATGTCTCTCCATTAAATCCTTCTGCTTCTTCCTGCTAATAATCCTGCCAGTCAGCCGATGGGTTGAAATCATCTTTTACCCAATAGAAAGAATATAAATCGGGGGCATCCCTCAGTGGCTAAGACACTGAGCTTGTCGATCAGACAATTCGAATCCCTAGTACAGGTCTCCTGCGTGGAGCAGGGGGTTGGACTAGATGACCTCCAAGATCCCTTCCGACTCTGTTACTGTTAACCTCGGCAACTTTAAGACTTGTGGACTTCGATTCCCAGAATTCTCTAGCCAGCATGGCTGGGGAATTATGGGTATTGAAGTCCACAGGCCTTAAAAGTTGCCAAGGTTGGAGGGCCCTGATATAAATGGAATGTTTACCTCACCACCCCTTCATTTCTGCCACTGTCAACATTCACACAGCCAGCTAAACGATGGTTTGCATAATAATAGTTTATTGGCTAAATCACTATGGGATAGGCTGGCGATGACACGTTTTGCCTTGACCCCTGATCCATTCACAGAATGCCGAGATTCACCCAACACACCTAAGCCGGAAATCTACCTGTTGGGTGGAGGGGTAAAGAACCTTATCAAAACCTTCCCAACAATGAAGTCCAAAAATCAAAACTTGCAGAAGGGAGTTAGTAGTTATACATGAGTAAAGGAATTTAACGGAGTAAATTCAAGAAAAATGAACACTAGGGGGCGCCCTTAACTTTCCAATTAGATGAGACAACTCTGGAATTCAGATTCGAAAAGTTAAAAGTAATTTTATTGTCCCAAATCTCAGCTTGATGGTGGCTGGGTGGGAAATGTGAGATTTGCATTCTCCTGGACGTGTGTGTGTGTGTGTGTTGGATATTTGCCAATCTGTTTTTGGCACGAGAATGACGTTATCAGCTAGCCTGCAAAAAGACCACTGGATGAGGCCTAGGGTTTGGGTTTTTACCCCCTTGAGCCCCCTTTCTCAAGAGAGCTCCCTCCAGCCTGTGTCAGATTCCCTCCATTCCTTGGCAAAGCCCCCACCCCCTTCCCTCCCTTGGTTCCGTTCTCTGCTGCTTCCTGCCTTCCTTCTTCCCCATAGCTGCCTCCCACTCCAGTCTCTATGCCAAGGGGGGCTTCTCTTGCAAAGCTGGCATGAACCCACCTGGCCAAGAAAAGCCAGCTTAATTTACCCCCACGTTCTGAGTATTGGGGGTTTGGCAGGGGGTCTGGACTACAGCCAGCCTGGCTGGGGGTGGGGATGGGATGTATCAGCTGGTATGTCTGTGGGGCAGAGGTGGGTTTCAACAGGTTCTGACCAGTTCTGACCAGTTGGGGAGAACCGGTAGCGGAAATTTTGAATAGTTTGGAGAACCGGTAGTAAAAATTCTGACTGGCCCCGCCCCCATCTATTCTCTGCCTCCCAAGTCCCAGCTGATCAGGAGGAAATGGGGATTTTGCAGTAACCTTCCCCTGGAGTGGGGAGGGAATGGAGATTTTACAGTATCCTTCCCCTGCCATGCCCACCAAGCCACGCCCACAGAACCAGTAGTAAAAATTTTTGAAACCCACCACTGCTGTGGGGTAACTCCCCACAATTGCCAATTGGGAAATAAAGATGTGAGATTATTGAAAACTTTGCAGGTGAAATAATAGTTTCGGGGAATGAAGCCAGCCATGGATTGTCTTTCTCCTTGGCTGAAAGTGCTGCATAACAGGCTCTGCGTCTTCAGGATCACTCCCAATAATAACATTTGTTAGAGTAATACGGCTTGATTGCAAAATGCAAAGGTAAATGGAGTAATTCAGGGCATTTCCCGTAATCAAAAGCATCATGCTAAAAGTAGTTTAGATAAACAATGGGATGAAGAAGGAAAAACACCTCCCAGGACATAAGTTAGTTATGCAACTTATGTAGCAGAAGAAGTCCAAATATCACAGGATCAAATCCTAGTTTAGGATTTCCCAGCTAAAAAAAATCATGGAAAAAGGTTTGCCCAGATTTTATTGATCCAAAGCTGGGGGAAAAAAACCAAAAATGCTATTGTGAACTTCTAATCCATTTCCACAACTAGCTGCATCTTCAACCTCGTGGTTTCCTCAATCTGCAGAAGCCAAAATGTTCTCGCAAACTCCGTTCAGCAGTTTCTAGAGGCCTTTCGTCAGAGTGCGTCCTTCTGCTTTCCCCCAAAGTGCTTTTTTCAAGAGGCCACTGGACTCTCTTTGTTTTTCCTTGAAGACGTTTCACTTCTCATCCAAGAAGCTTCTTGGATTGAACTGAAGAAGTTTCTTGGATGAGAAGCAAAACGTCTTCAAGGAAAAACAAAGAGAGTCCAGTTGCCTCTTGAAAAAAGTACCTTCGGGACAACTAGATGACTGAGCATCTCCATAGAAGTTCTTCTGCTTTCTCAGAAATCCTGAGCACAAAGTTGTTGATGCTTTCTCTAGTGGCATCCCACAAACAGGACTCGGCAAGTGCAACGGCCTTCAGCATAGCTTGACCATCTCACCAGAACATTTGGAAAGGGTGCAGCGTGGAAACTTCCAGGAAAGAGCAGCATTTTAGTCCGTCTGGCTGCCAAAGCCAAGAAAGTATGTTTTTGTTTAGACATTTCTGCTGAAGGAGGGTGAAGGATTGTGCTGGAAGATCTCGTAGGGTTGTTTTGTTTTTTTTCTTTTCTTTTGCAAACCTCTTTGCAATGAATTATCTTCTGTCATACCTCATGACTAACCACATCGTTTGGCCGAGGGGAACACAACTCTCAATTCGTGTCATGTTTTGTTCGCAGCTGGGAAACGGGGCCAGCTCCTCCACCCTCCAAGCGTTGGGTAATTAGTAAATTTAGAATGGCCTAAATTCTGTGCATCTCGGGACCCAAATCATCAGCTGCAAAAAGCTGTTCTTTGTCTGTTGACAACTATTTTCCACACGGATGGAGAGAAAAGAGGAAGAAAGGGCTGCAGGAGTTCAGCTCCAGCTTCTCCGGGAAGTCTGAGAAGAGCTTCTTGAACACCTGAAGAGCTACCATCACGTCCTACTGAGATTGGTAGCTACAGCTAGTACCAGATTCCCTCCTCATTTTTGGTTGTTGTATGAATCCTTTTAATTAAAGAGGAATAAGTGGAGACTTCTCCATCCTGAAAGGCCAAACACAGCCACTGTCCCCTCTGCTGTTTCAAGAACGGCCTCCAGAAGGATTCTAAGAAAGTTGACCTAACCTCAGAATGTCAGTTGAGCTCACGAACTTCTCCCCAAAGTTTTCCCTTCCTAATATCTGTGATCAGAGAGCAGCAGAATGGAAGAAGTGCTGCTATCCCAAAGGCCTAGCCTAAAAATCCCCCAGGTTGATCTAGAGCAGGGCTCTCCAACCTTGGCAACTTAAAGACTTGTGGACGTCAACTCCCAGAATTCCTCAGCCAGCGTTTCTCAACCTTGGTGGACTTCAATTCCCAGAATTCAATTCCCCATGCTAGCTGGGGAATTCTGGGAGTTGGAGCAGGGGTGAAATCCAGCATGTTCTGACAGGTTCTGGAGAACCAGTAGCAGAAATTTTGAGTAGTTTGGAGAACTGGCAAATGCCACTTCTGGCTGGCCCCAGAGTGGGGTGGGAATGGAGATTTTACAGTATCCTTCCCCCAGGAGTAGGAAGGGAATGGAGATTTTACAGTATCCTTCCCCCAGGAGTAGGAAGGGAATGGGGATTTTGTAGCATCCTTCCCCTGGAATGGGGTGGGAATGGGGATTTTGCAGTATCCTTCCCCTGCCACGCCCACCAGTAGTAAAAAAATTTGGATTTCATCAGTGAGTTGAAGAAAACACATTTTAGAGTTACCAAGGTTGAGAAACACTGCTTTAAAGAGCTGGGATGTTTTTTTCCCCCCAGCTACTATTTGTGGCTCCAGAGGCCAGTTCCTTTCCAGTGTTCTCCTCCTGGGTGAGAAGGTGGGAGTGTACATTCCTTGCAATCCGGCAGAAAAGATGGACCCCAGCTGGGTTTTGGGGTAATGCCAACTCCACCTCCCTACCGAGCCGTTTTAGAGAGCGGGGCTTGGAGAGGCTGCCTCAGACCTCTGCTGTCCAAATGAACCCAAGTGGATACATCCCCCCCCAAACCCCACCAAGCCTCCACCCCCCCCCATCCCAAACCCGGCTCAGCTTGGCTGACCCTCCTCTCCTTCACCCCAACTTCAGCTGCCGAAGCAGGCAAGTAGTTAAACATGAAGCAGAGCTTTAGGGGGTGGGGATGAGGGGATGCAAAAGGGGTTAAGAAAAGTATCCCCACCCAGCCAGCATGGGATGGGTGGCTACAGTGCCCGCCCACTTCCAGCCCCCCTGAACTCCCATTGGCTACAGAGAGAGAGATAGGCAGAAGGTGTCAATTCCCTTCCCCTGCAGCTGCTGGGAGGCAGGCGTGGGCTGCCCTCTGGCTTCCTTTGGATCAGGGGCTGCTGCGCTCAGTCGCTGCTCTGGGGACAGCCAGGAAGAGGCCAGGCTGCCCCTCTGGACCCTGCAGTGACCAGCAGAGAGTGGTCGGTCGCTCTTCCGATGCAGGGAAACGAGGCAGTTATGAACATCTGAACTGTTCTGGGTGGGAAAAAGCCTCAGGACAGATTCTGCAAACGCACTTTTTTAACCCGTAAGTGACAACTCTGCTCTTTTCAACTTTCTAAGTTTTCTTTCAAATGTTTCCATCCTTTAAAGGACGGCACAGCTTAAAGAATCTGTGTATTGCTAAGGGAGCATCTTCATCTGTGAAAACATCTGGATAGCATCCAGGACTTAGAGGGCAAATGGTTTTGCTCAGTGGTGAAATCCAATTTTTTTTACTACCGGTTCTGTGGGCATGGCTTGGTGGGCGTGGCTTGGCAGGCATGGCAGGGGAAGGATACTGTAAAATCCCCATTCCCTTCCCACTCCAGGGGAAGGATATTGCAAAATCTCCATTCCCAGCCCACTCTGGGGCCAGCCAGAGGTGGTATTTGCCGGTTCTCCGAACTACTCAAAATTTCCGCTACCGGTTCTCCAGAACCTGTCAGAACTTGCTGGATTTCACCCCTGGTTTTGCTGCCATCCATTTCCACTCTTAGACTATCTCTATCCTCATTTCTACTTTCCTTCTAATACCTTCAGCCACTGACTCTAGTTTGCTAATCAGGAATATCTGGACTCCACCAGGCAGGAGAATCTGGGCTCTCTCAAACCAGAGGGCCCACCCACCCTAAATGTCTTTTAAAAGAACTAAAACTGGGACTTTCAAAACCTGGGACCTTGGGGAGAAGGAAAGCTTTCCTGGGAGTTCGTGGAGATTCTCCGTCCTCCAGGTCACCCTTGTCCCAAAGGTGCTTTTTCAAGAGGCAACTGGGACTTTCTTGTTTTTTCTTTGAAGACTTTTCATTTCTCATCCACTCAGAGCTGAAGAAGCTTCTGGGATGAGAAGCGAAACGTCTTCAAAAGAAAAAGAAGGAAGTCCAGTTGCCTCTTGAAAAAGCACCGTTAGTGCTGAAGAGTTGCAATTCACGCTTCTGTTCTGTTGTCCTCCTTCCTTTAAGAGCCAGCAGCATCCAGCCTCGGTAGTGCAGAGCCAGAAGTTCCATGTCTCAGAGTGTCCTGCAGGCCACCCCATCTTCTCTGATCCCAAGATGCATTTCAGGAACTTCTCCATCATCTTCGCCACCGAACAGCCTCCTCAAGAGCTGGCTCCCACCAACGTCTCCACCAGGGAGGCCTGCCTCCTCCGCTTCTCCAGCCACCAGTTTGTGGTCATCCCCGTGCTCTACTGCATGATCTTCATCCTTGGACTTGTGGGCAACAGCATGGTTCTCACGGCACTGTGTCGGCAGAGGAGCCCCAAGACAGTGGCCAACGTCTACATCTTCAACCTAGCAGTGGCTGACCTGCTGGCCCTCATCACCCTTCCCTTCTGGGCCGCCAGCTATGCCAACGGGTACAACTGGGTCTTTGGCTCCATGATGTGCAAGCTGTCCGGCTCCATCCTCTGCTTGACCATGTTTGCAAGCATCTTCTTCATAACGTGCCTGAGTGTGAACCGTTACCAGGCCATCGTTCACCCTTTCCAGTGCCAGCAAGGAACTTTGGAACGGGCCTTCGTTGCCACATTCACCGTTTGGGGACTGGCGACCTTGACTTCTCTGCCCACTTTCTGCTGGCGTGAAGTCAACTACATTGATGAGCTGGGCGTGAACGCTTGCATCATGGCCTATCCCTCCGAGAATTACGCCACCTGGTCAGCTGCAACAGCCTTAATGAAAAACCTCCTTGGCTTCCTGCTCCCCATGGCCATCATCCTTGGGTGTTACATCTGCATCAGGGTGCACCTGAAGAAGGCCCAAGGTTTCGCCAAAAGCATGAGGGTCAGGGACCGGGTGCTGAAGTTGGTGGCCGCCGTGGTGGTGGCCTTCTTGATTTGCTGGCTCCCATTCCACATCTTGACCTTCCTGGATGCCCTCTCCTGGATGGAGGTGATCAGCAGGTGCCACCTCACCTCCGTGATCGATGCGGTGCTGCCCTTTGGGCTCTGCATGGGCTTTGCAAACAGTTGCATCAACCCCTTGTTGTACTATTTTGTGGGCAGGCAGTTCCGGGATAAACTCCAGCATTTATTCAAGCTGAGCCTCTCCCAGTTCAACAGTGGCCGGGAAACCCTTTCCTCCAGCAAAACCAGCTCCCTCAAGACTGCTGGCTCCCTGAAGGAGGCTGACCCAGGAGGAGCCACGGAGAGGCCACTGACCCACCCACTGTGGGTTCCCTAATCGCCATCTGGAAACAATTAAGTGGCAGTTATGTCCTCTCTGTGACTCATGTTTTTCCTCTGGTCTCCCCTTGCTCATCTCCTAGGACAATCTGTCCATCCAAGACCATGTTTCCATTTGCTTTGAGAAAGGCTGTCTTGTAGGGGGCAATTAATTGTCAATAAATATCTTAACACTTTACTAACCCAGCCTATTTCTATGACTAAAGTGTGTTTCTCATGGCCCTGAAGCGGAGGAGTTTGCAAAGTAAATTAACTTTCAACACCTTCCTATTCAGAATAGAATAGAATAGAATAGAATAGAATAGAATAGAATAGAATAGAGTAAGTAGAGTAGAGTAGAGTAGAGTAGAGTAGAGTAGAGTAGAGTAGAGTAGAGTAGAGTAGAGTAGAGTAGAATAGAATAGAAAATATGGAATGGAATGGAGTGGAGTGGAGTGGAGTGGAGTGGAGTGGAGTGGAGTGGAGTAGAGTAGAGTAGAGTAGAGTAGAATAGAATAGAATAGAATAGAATAGAATAGAATAGAATAGAATAGAATAGAATAGAATAGAATAGAATAGAATTCTTTATTGGCCAAGTGTGATTGGACACACAAGGAATTTGTCTTTGGTGCATAAGCTCTCGGTGTACATAAAAGAAAAGATACATTCGTCAAAGTACAATGTTGTAAGGCACAATGTACTAAAAGTCCCTTAGGGAGAGGAGAGAAAGCAACTTCTTGGTAGGTGGCCTTCGAGGGTCAACAAGGACCTTGGGTTTACCTGGCCCATCTTCTTCAAGGGGTCAATTGTCCCAGGCGAGCTTTGCAGAAGGCAGAAATTTTGCAGCAGGCTGGCAGGTCAAACCAAGGCATGCCGTCAGCCGCAGGTTGTTGCTCCAGAGCAAAATAATTTAAGGAGGAGGAACAGAGTCAAGGACACTCAGGCAGGAAGGACCCGGTTTGCCAAGAAACTTCCCATCCTGAGGAATGAGAAGTGTGGCCTACTACCAAGGCAGGAGCATCCTTTGTTTAAGTTCATGCTTCCCAACTTTGGCCACTTCACGATGGGTGGACTTCAACTCCCAGAATTCCCCAGCCAGTTAGGCTGGCTGGGGAATTCCGGGAATTGGAATCCACCCTTCGTGAAAGTTGCCAAGGTTGGGAAACATTGGTTGAAGATGAAAAAACAAGGAAGTGCATATTTGTAACAAATAAAAAGGCAGTTGCATCAATCTAGGACAGCTTGGTTCATTATGGATAATTCATGCAATGAAGTCTGGCAAGGAGAGGCAACTGAACTCTTTCCTCCTTGCTCTTCTTCTTCTGCTTCTTCTTTTTTTAAAAAATCTCTTCACTCCCTGAAATAGAGATCCTTAGGACCCCTCCCAGCAGTTACCATGAAATGCAAACTTCCACAAAGTTGTTTGACAAATGTTTCGGTGTAGAGAGAAGGACACACACACACACACCCGCCTCTTGTCAGCCTGCGTTTGCTGGTGACATTTATGGTATTGGGCATAATTGCTTGTTTATCCCTTGAATGTGCTTTTCAGTACAACATGTTCCTTCCTCCGGACACCCCTTAATTCCCCACCCCCAGGACACCAGCCACAACTTACCTTGGCTCTGCTTGGGCTGCCCATTCACTCTGATTTATGGCACCATGCAGCACAAAATCTTCTCGTCCCACACATCTGCAGCCAGATGGGTGTCCATAGAGCTTCCCAAGCCCTCCGTCAAAGCATTGCCCAATCCGTGATGGCCTTGGGCCACGATTCCGCTTAGGCGGATGTTGCTTACTCCCCCCCCCGCCCGTCATGGGGGCTGAAGAGTGAGGGATCTCATTAGCTACTTTCTTTTAGCCAGAGAACAAAATAGCCCGAGGCCTGGCCACAGAACATTGAGATGCTACAGAATGCCCTGCTATTTTTGTAGTCGACACCTGCACAGTTTTACCTGTGGAAAATGAGGCCAGCGTGTCCCTCCATCTGCGTCGACCTCCTACTTATTTTATGCGGCATTTCTAACCATTGTTCTTCAAAGAGAACATGGGACTTTGGGCCCCAATTTACAAATAAAATGTCCGATGTGATATCCAGATTCCAAAATTCTTCAACTTATCCCTCCCCTCAATTTGTCAATAACTGGGCTGGGAACTGAGCTTCCTCTGTTCTCTGACGATGAGAGGAAAAGCGACGAAGACGAGGCTGTGGCCAGATGGGAAGTCCACCTTGAGCTGCATCTCCTCCAGAACCAGAGGCTTCCCACCAGTGGCTGAAAACAGAGGTAGTTGTATGAACGTCACTTTTGTGACTCTCTTGGGCTTCTCCAATGCTTCATCTTATTTTACAGCATAGAAAGCATAGAAATTTGATCTCTCTTGCCGATCAGAACAGTAAGCTCTACACAACAATGAAGTGGCCTTCTAACCTCCAAGGTTGGGAATCTTCCCAACTCAAACTGATACACCTAAGGTCTCAGGCAGGGTGCTTCATAGCTTCAAGCTTTCCTGAGGACCTCAAGTCCCAATGATTACCCTTTTATTAAGCAAAAGAACACGGGAGTGGCTTCATATGTCAATGTTCTCCACATTCTCAGTTGCTGGTTGCTGCTGTTTCTGTTTTTCCCCCCGAGTTCTGTACATTATGCAGATAAGCCTTTTCTAACTGTCCCCATTTGTCATCTGGGGAAACCAGATGATGTGAGGTTGGACTAGATCAGGTGTCTGCAACCTTAAACACTCAAAGAGCCATTTGGACCTATTTCCCACAGAAAAGAAAACACCGGGAGCCACAAACCCCTTCCTGTGCCTGACTATTTCCTGAGAGGCCACAGAACTAGCATATGTAGTTGAATTAAATGTTCTGTTTTCTTCTGAAACTTTTCTTTTCTTGGCCTACCAGGGGTTGAAAAGCTCAATAAATCGTGTGCCGGCGGGTGTCGCACATTGGCGGTTGTGACGCATATTTTGAGTGACAGGGAGCTGCAGCAGAGGGGTGAAAGAGCCACATGCGGCTCCAGAGCCCCAGGTTGCTGACCCCTGGGCTAGATGAACATTATGGAAAGTTCAGAGCTTTCTCTTCCTCACAGGCATCATAGACTCACTTCTTGGCAATCGTTCACCGGGCATTGCTTGTGCCCCTTCCGTGGCAATCAGGAGATTTGATAAGTAGATGGCTTTTGTAGTCCCTGTTTTTAACTGGGGCACCAATTCATTTGAGAACAGAAAATAGCAAAAGAAAGACTTATTTCAGAGGATGTAGCTAGAGTTCCATCTTGAAGAGGCTGGAGCTATGAGCTCCCTCTTTTCAAAATCTTCTATTGTCAGAAATTCAGCAGAGTCAAGTTTGAAGCTGGCCCTGCCTAATGCTTCTTCGTAGACAGCCTGCCATAGAAAATCTTCTATTTTTGGTTCTCGTGGAAGCTCTCCGGGGTGGGGGGGGGCTGGCATCTCCTGCTGTGCTTTTTCTGGCAAGTAAGAAGCCTCAGTTCAAGAATTTGACCCAATCAGCTGTCCAAATCAAGGTTAGTGGGACAGGGGTGGAAGAGGCCTACAGAGACCAGAACTGCTGTGATGAATGGCTTGGAGTTTCTTCTCCAAACATCACTTGGGAAGCAGCAATCGCTCATGGTGTGTCTCCTTTGCAGCTGTTTTGCCAGAAACTTGGCTGTCCCGCTTTCGGGGAGGGGGCTGCAGTCCAAACTCCCCATCCCAGGCTCTTCCAGGGAAGGCAGAGGTCATTGCAGAAAGGAGCTCACATGCAAGGCAGCCAAGAGTCCCTTCGATGGTCCCAGGAGAGATGCTACAGCTCCACCAAGTCTGGAGTACATGCCAGGTTTCATCTCCTGATTTCTGATAGGCACGCCAGCCCAAATGTCACCGAAAACTAAAGTACTTGGAATTCTCCCGCCATGCCAAAAGTCGCGACAGGAACTTTTAAGGGATAGAAATAGAAACCATCTCCTTCATGAATGTGGGCTGAGGGCTGGAAAAGACTGGCCGTTTACTCAGGGAGGAAATCTTGGCAGGGCCCCCCTCGTAAAAGGCCAAGCATGACCTCCTGCTCATGGATCCCCAGAGGTGTCCACAGGGTTGGGTCAAAAAGTCAAGATGGTGGTGTGAAAAGGGCCATCATGTCCAAGCGGATTCCAAGCTTGTGGACTTGATTGGCCTGCTTTCTTCATCCAGTCTATGCTGACCAGTCACTGAGGGCTTCAGGCATTTGAAGCCCAAGAGATAAGGAAGCCGAATTCTACTCTGGCCTCCTTGGTTCTTCTCCCCACACCCTTCCAGACCTCTTCCTCTCCTTGCTCTCAATCTTTGCAGCAGCAAGAATGAGCCAGGATCCCAGCTGGGCCCCTGCTTGGAGAACAGCCCTCAAGGTCTGTTGGGTTTTGTTAAGAGAAAACCTCAGGAAAGCCCTGCAAGAAACATGGAACCTGTCCTGGTGCTGAAGTTCTGGCCCTGAAGAACCAAGGGAGCCCCACAAGGAACCAAAGGGAGCAGCCAGGAGACAGGGAGGGGAGGGGGCACTCAGGGGCTACTCCTCTCTCACTCCTACCTTGAGGAGCACGATTGGCTCCAGCTCTGAGAACGGCTGCGGTCAAGACAAGCAACACATTTGGTTTTATTTGCTGCACCCGCACAATATCATCAATCATGGATGTGATAGTTCTTCCTTCTGCAAACTAGAACTCTGGGGACGCACCCAAAACGTTCAGGAGCGCACCCAGATGGGAGCTTCTGATCTGCCTCCCCTCCCCTCCCTCCCCTCCCCCTCCTTTCTCTTTCATTGTTTTTATAACACAAGGCCCAAAGTTGCCTTTTTTCTTGCCAAGCCAGATCCTTGGTGTCTATTTTTGCACGGTGTTGCTTCATCTGCCTGAATGCGGCTTTTCAGGGTTTCGGATGCAACACGATTTTCCCAGCTCTGCTGGCCAAGGCATTGCACAACGTGGAGACCTCCTCCCGGGACCTCTGGGACACACAGCAGACTCTTTGGGGCTGGAATGTGCTGCCTTCAGTTTGCCCCACTTTGAGGGGGGGGAGGGTTGCCTTCTTGTAGAGGCCTCTGCATGATGCCAGAATTAGCAGTCTTCAAGAGAGAGGTTCATCCCCTCTACCGTTCCCTAGGCCAGTGTCACTCAACCTTGGAAACTTGAAATTTCCAGAATTCCCCAGCCAGCATTCCTTCCTTCC